AAGGAAGGAAGGAAGGAAGGAAGGAAAGAAGGAAGGAAGGAAGGAAGGAAGGAAGGAAGGAAGGAAGGAAGGAAGGAAAAGAATGATAAAAGTAGATAAATGTACTCATTTCTTAAAAGCTCCCAATTTTAACCTATTGAATATGTGATACTTGAACTAATAAGGAACAAACACAGTAAAATATAAAAGCTTATTAGCAAGCTATAAATTCCTCTCACACTCTAGTGCTTAATCACTACACTCTGGAACATATGCAAGGAGCATTCTACTCAAGTGCTTCTTAGGCTTACTTGGTGCCTAATACATTGGCAAGCATATGGGGAAAGCATGTTAGCACAAAAGCCCTGATCTCTGTTCTCAAACTGCTCACAAAGTAAAGAAGTGAATAGCAAAGCCAAAGAATTAACAGCAATTAAATATCCAATTATATAAGGTCTCTGTGTAAGGAGGTTCTTTCAAGGGGTCAGTGTTTTGACATCATAAATTTCCACACAACTTACTACTTAGACATTATATGTTTTAAATTGAAAGGAATACAGAAAATATGAAGAAAAAGGTAAGGCGTAAGTGGACTTAAGAGTAACGCGTAAATAGGCTGACAATATCAAGTCCTAAAAAATCATCATAATATCAATCAAAATATGATCTCACTAAGCTGATATGCTTCCATAAACTAGCTTGTAAAAGGTCAGATGGCCCAGAACGATGGTATAGCAAAGCAAGAAAAAGGAGCAGGAAGCGCTACTCTCAATTTTCTATTGAAAAACAATCCATCAGTGTGACCTGTCAGTTTAGAAGAAAACCAGTGCATAGCACACAGGTTGGGAGTTCAGAAACAATGGGTCATAAGGGAGAAGATTACAGTGGGATAGGAGAAACACAGCGAAGAAATGGGGTGGGGGGCAGCAGAGCGAAAAAAGCCAAGCTCAGGAGCCTGAGGTTACCTGAAACGAGGCAAAGCTCCTGACTCCTTGACTCTAAGCTACCATGTGAGGAAGGACAAATGTAGAGGTGATTTCAGGTGAGCAGTAAGGATGATGTACTCTAGCTAGATCAATCTGATTTGTACAAAGTGCTGGTCAGTAAATATTCTAAAAATACAGATAATAATTTTGTGAAAATCGCTTCTTACTTCAAGTAAAATAAAAATCATTTAATCTTAGAGAATTCTTTTTAAGCTACCATGATGCTAAACCTAACTGAACTATTTGGAAATAGAAATTTGGTTATCCTCAAAAATATTGTTCCTAAACTGATAGCACCATGCTATTTTATTCCTTTAATAATTCACCAAAAACACTATCATCTTAAAATTCTCAAAAGTGGAGACATTAAGAAATTCTACTTTTTTTTTACCTTTATTGAAAAGGTGATGAGCAGGGGATTACAGTTTCATATGTAAGGTAATGAGTACATTTCTTTTTAAACAGTTACCCCATTCCTCATTTTCTCCTGCTTACCCCTCCTTTATCCCCTCCCCCCCATTTGTAAAGTTCATTTCCAACATAGTGTCAAGTGAGTATCAATGTTGCATTAGTTCATCCTTTGTCCTGCTGTTTCTGTGATTCCCTTTCCCTTCCAGCCAAATAAAAGGCATTCATTCTTTTTAAACAAGTAAACCACATATAACTTCAAGCAGTGATGTTTAACTTAGCATTCTGAACATACCAATTGGCATTTGTATAACAAATTTAACCTTTAAAGTAAAAGTAATTTATTTAATCATAAAAGATCAGCAGCCAAAAGTAAGAAGTGAATGACTAACTTTTACAGATCAATATTCTGGCCAAGAAATTTTTAAGTTAATTTAAGAAGCAACTCAAAAAGCATTTCTCACACTTCTAAGCAAAAATTCAGTTGTTGAAAATCTTCAATATGTGAAAATCTCAAAATACTACAACATACTGTGATATAACCTTAAGGACCAAAGAAAATCCAAGATTGGTAAGAAATGTATGCATTATCCTGCCCATGTAATTGTAACTCCTCTGTACAACATGTTCACAAATAAAATAAAATTTAAATTTAAAAAAAAATTCAAAGCTCCACCTGAAATCTAGAAAAAAAAAAAAAAAGAAAATCCAAGATTAAGAACTATTATCAGAATCTGATAGGCTTGAAAATATATTGTACCCTTGTGAAATTTGTGCTTTGGGTTTTTGTGCTTTTTTTTTTTTTTCAAGGAGTAGGTTCATAAAAAAAAAAATAGAAAGTTGTGTTTGTTTACACCTGGCACACAGGTAGTTGGAGTTGGAACATTATGTTCTCCAAGGTCTAAGTGTTAAAGGCTTAACCTCAGGCGAGCACTACGGGAGGTGCTGGTTAGATCCCTGGGAGCACTTCCCTGAAGGACATTGTGGGAACACAGCCTTCTTTCTCCCTTCTTGCTCACTTCCTGTCACAGAGGTACTCAAGGTACTTCATACACTCTCTGCCACTGTCATGCCCATCAAAGGCCCAAAGCAATGGCTCTGCCCAATCTTAGACAGGATGATCCAAAAGAATGAGCCAAAAGAATCCCAATAACTCTTGCCTTTTGATAAGTTAATTATCTCCAGTATTTCATGGTAGTGATGGAAAGCTACCAAATGCATATGGGAATTAGTATCAAATAAACATTGGTACTATGTATTTTATTTTCTTGACAAGGTTAAGTGAAATGTAAAGGAGGGAGGGAGGAAAACAGACAGACATGACCAATTGATACAGAAAGGACAGATTATCAATTCTTTAATGAAGGTGAGATTATCAGATGATTTTAAAATAAAAGGTACAAATAGCAAAAGATTTACAATATCAAAATGTATAGTTTTAAGTTATAAGGACATTCTGACAGTCTACAGATGTACTGAATGTTCTGCTGTTATAAAACATTATGATGTGTTGGTTACTTATGCATAAAATACACAAAAAATATGCAAAATTATCTGTCCTAACTGAAATACAAATAGCCAAGAGGCCTCTGACTACACCTTGAATGATTATTCTAAAGCGAATCTAGAATTTACACTGTACACTTAAATCCCTGATACCTTCAAGATAAGCTATTACTTAAATAACATAACTAAAAATTTTACATAAAACTTTCAGTTCTGGTCATGAGGTAAGAACTGATCCTGTATTCCTAAGAAATCAACTAGTAAACTGCACAACATAATGAAAAACAAAAAACAGTAAATACACATCAGACAGTAAGCAAAGCAGGAGTACAATGCAAGGAAAAAGAAAAGTAAAAATGAGGAGCCCTGCTCCCACGGGGAGCAGATTATACTGCAGATAAGAACCCCACGTCAGTCCAAAGGTCTGGATGCCATAGGATGAAGATGCCTATGACGCAAGATGGGAAACTCAGAAACTGGGAGGAGACCCAGGCACAAGTGAGACAAATCAAGAGCTCCAGAAAACTTACATGATTCCATTCAGTCCTGCTGAATTTAGCTGGCTAGTTTATGCAGCTAGACACTGCATAAACACAGGCCAAAAAATAACCACTGGGATTTAAACTGCACAAGTCTTGGAGTGCACAGAAGAAAACAAAAGACTCAAGCCTGAAGCAATCAGAGTAGTCACCCATCACTTCATACACTCAGGAGAGATCCTGGAGGCTTCCTATCTTAGAAGCAGAACTGAACCTCCCGGAAAGGTTATTCTAGAGTAGACTTTCTCAATCTCACTATTATTGATAACTTAAGCCAAAAATAATTTTATGTAGAGGGCTGTCCTAACTTCTATCTCTCAGATATATCACTCCAGGTGTGACAACCAACAATGTCTCCAGACATTGCCAGATGTCCCTTAAGAGCAAAACTGTACCTGCCTCAAAATTCCCATTCCAGATCCTTTCTAGCAAAACTTTAAAAGGCACTAAAAAATGAATCTGTTCTGCCAGTAACCTGAGACACCTGTCAGAATAAAACCTCATTCTGAAAGGACAAAATTTAGCAATCAAGACATAACACAAGCATGATTCAACCAGGTACAAGAGTACACTTCCATGACTTCAGGCACTCAAGAGGCTGAGGCGGGAGGACTGTGAGTTCAAGGACAGCCTGGGCTACATAGAGACATTATCCTAAGATACTTAGTTAAGAGGAGACATATATAGTATCTATTTGGAGTCAAACAGATAAGCCAGAGAGGCAGACATAATATTCATGAATCAGATCATCATAATTTTTCTAAAAGAAAATAATCTTTGTATCCCACAAAGATTTCATACATACAATATCATAAGCATGGTCCAGAAAAGAAAAAGTGAGAAACTGTACCTCATCAAAAGGAAGAACTTGTAACCATATGTGGTAGCACATATCTACAATCCCAGTACTCAGGAGGCTGAGGTAAGACTGTCACTTTGAAACTACCCTGGGCTACATAGCAAGACAGGGTTTCCAAAAAAGAACTTCTACTATTCAAAAAATCGAAAGGAACATCTCAGTAGACAAAGAAAAAAAAATGTGACAAAATCAAGCACTCATGGCTGACTAACAGATGTCTGTATCTATGTATCTATATATATGTATATGCTGTTCAAAAAATAATGTACTTATTACCTGACTTATGTAACTGTAACCCCTCTGTACATCACCTTTATAATAACAATATATTTTTAACAATATATTTGCACTGGTGGCTCAGACCTATAGTCTTTGATACTCAGGAGGCTGAGATATGAAGATTTCAGTTCAAAGCCAGTCCAGGTAGGAAAGACTGACTCATCCCTAATTAACCACCAAAAAGCCAGTAGTAGAGCTGTGGCTCAAGTGGTAGAATGCTAGCCTTGATCAAAACTAAGCTTAGGGATAGCACCCAGGCCCTGAGTTCATGCCCTATGACTGGCATACATTAATTAATTAATTTCATCAAACTAAGAATAAATGGAAGAGCCTCTCAACTGTATACATGTTTCAGAAGAGAGTCCTTAATATGATGTGGTAGTGGGAGGTGAAAGCGATTCTTCCTCTCTAGGGTAAGAACAGGCTCCTCGCCACACGTAGACACACTGCACTCCAGACAGTCAGGACACTGGGCAGCAAGAGAAACGAAAGGGAAGCCAAAGTGGCAGGAAAACAGAAGCTGTTTTCACTCATAGGTAATATAATTCCATAGACATGCAATCCTAAAAAAAAAAATTCAACAACAAGAATACAAAATTATGAGAACTAACCATGTCTAGTAAGGTCTCAGAGTAAGAGCACTAGTGACCCACACCTGTAATCCTCGCTAATCAGGAGGCTGAGATCTGAGGATTATGTTTCAAAGCATCAAAGTAAATGAGACTCAATACTTTTTTTTAATTTATTAACAACGCAATTAAAAAGAATAAAATGCTTAGAATTGACCTTTTAAAGTTTTATTTATTCACTGAAAAATGATTGTTAATATTAGTTACTAGCACAGTGCAAATTAAAATCAAACTAAGAAACTATTATATACCCATTAAAGTGTCAAAACAGAAAATATATATATATATATATATATTAAATGTTATTGAAGAAGGAATGTCTACAGAAACCTTATGTGTAATCATTAAAATCTGGATACAACCTTATATACATCCATAGGTAAACTGGCCAATGTGGTAGTACTAAAATGTAACACAATTCAGAAGTAAGATGAGCTACTAATATGCCCAACAACCCAGCTACATACCCAACTCAAACTTAAAGGCCCCCCAAAAATATATAAAATGAAGGTCATCCATATAAGAGCCTAGTAAATGCAAAGGGATCTTCAGTATATAATGTATATAGTAATAACAGGGTTCTACTTATGCCAAAAATCTATCAAAAATGTGAAACATGTATAGCTATTTTATTACCAAAAGCTCTCAAACACATACACATATTCACACATTTAAGAGTAAGCAACAAAAAATGTGCAAAGTCTATATGAGGAAAATATTTCTGAAGTACAAAAATGCAGACATTAAGAACATGTCACATCTATCCAGATTTGAATCTATGACTCAAAACCCAGAGTCAACTGTTTTAAAAATGAACTCAAAACACAAGTATGAAAATAAATGAATAAAGATCTCACAAGACCAGAGCATCATCTTATTTTACTTTTTAAGGTTTTTGCAAAGATTTACTTTAGTATAACAGGAGGGAGGGAAACAGAAAAAAGAGAAATATTTCCAGCTCCCCACATAGGAAATGGGAATTAAAAACTCAAAATGCAGTTCTTATTGTAGCTTTTAAACATGTGTATATGTTTTAAACACACATACATACATATATACATACATACATACATACATACATACATACATATATGAGCTTTGTGATCATTTCAGTCTAGCCACTCTTAATCCTTAGACAAAAATTCTAGGTGGTTACAATGGATGAGGATAAAACCTAGGTAACATTCAAGACTTCCCTTCCCCAGACATGCACTTTATTTTCACCCATTTGTGAACAGTTCCCAGACTTTTACCATTTCAAAAGCAGATGTTCATCTGTTTCCTATGTTTCCCAGTTTTGTAACTTAATATTAAAAAGAGGATACAATGGGAAGTCCATTTTTCAGCTTACTTCTTGGTTTCAATTTCTGAGTCTAGCCCTTTTGATATTAACTAAAAATAACATAATTTTCCATATAAACAGAAAAAGCCAGAAGTGGTGCTGTGGCTCAAGTGGTAGAGCACTAGTCTTGAGCAAAAGAAGCTCAGAGACAGTGCCCAGGGCCTGAGTTCAAGCCTCAGGTCTGGTCAATGATCTATCTTTTACACTGCGGAAGCACCATTATAGTATAATAACAAATAAGAAATGAAAAAAAAAGAAGAAATGAAAACCACCACTATCTCCCAAATAGAATACTGATGTTCTTAATATATAAAGATCTCTTAGAATAACAAAGCCAGGCATAGCAGAGCACAGTTGTAATCCCAACAGTTGGGAGGTAGAAGCAAGAAGATCTCAAGTTCAATGCTCGCCTATGATAATTGGCAAATTTTATCTCAAAACACTGCAACCCCCCTATTCATCACCTTTACAATAAAAAAATAATTAATTTTTAAAAAAAGAATAGAAATTTTTAAGAACCTAATAACTCAAGAGAAAAATGAGTAAACCTTGTATTTTATAAGAAAACAAGTATGAATGACCCTTAAAATAATATAAAGTGCTCTCCTTTATTCCTAGAGAAGTACAAATTTCAGTTGCCTGGCTACTTTATGTATTTCTAATACACAGAAACGAAGTGGAGAAGAATGTACATAATATTCTACCTCTTACAAGAGATATAGGCAGATAGGTTAGATAGATATGTACATATGTCATATATATGTATATATATTTATATGCTCCTTTGTTTACATTTACAAAAATATAAAATGCAACTAGAAAAGATAAACAAGAAAATAAAATTAAAATAATAACCGACAGAGAATGTACCATAAAGAAGACATCTCTGATCTACATTTTTATGAAGACAAAAACAATTCCCAAAAGTGAAAAACAACTGAGACAAACACAACTGTTATGTTGACATTGTATATAATACAGAAAAAAATTCTTCCAACTGTGCATCACTTGATTTAATCAAAGTCACAAAGAGCTGCTAAAAAAGCCTGAACTTTTATTAGAGTTGTCCGTAGCAAAACTACTATTGCTATACTGAAGTTATTTTATGTATTCTAAAGGTTAAAAAAAAAAACAAGTATTTTGATATTGCTGGGAATTAAGACTTTCCGCAAGAAATACAAATTTAAAATCAGAAAAATAGCAATAAAAACTTATGATTTTTTTTAAAATGATACATTTCCTGGTTCTGTTAGCATGGGGACATTAACCTTACAACAGGTATAAACTGCCCTGTGGCCTGCTCTTGGTCCTGATAGACCATCCCCCACCAAAGAAACCAGTACTCTGGCGAAATGACCTGTGAGAGAATGTGCACAAAATAAGCTTGGACAGACTCCACCAGAAAGAAACGCCAAAGACTAAACATAATGAAACCAGCTAACGCAAACCAAAATTAAGTATTATTACCCATAGCCTAAGAAAACAGGTTCTTACCATATCTATAGCAAAAAGGCTATTGTCATCCCAGATTTCAGTTGAAATGGCTTCACCAATCAAGGTTATATCCTCTGTGAGCAATTCCAGAACTCTTATTATCATTTGTCTACTACCTAGAATGCAAACAAGGGAAAGGTGAGAGGAAAGATAACTTAATCACAGATGCAGTTAGTATTAGTAGCCATGCTCCCAGAGTCCTATTTTGCATTTTAAAGATGCTTTTAAAATGTGGACAGAGATGAATAAGGAAGTCACAGTCTTGACTGCAACATGAGATGTGACACCAATGAGAAAGCACTTAGAGAGAGAGAGAGAGAGAGAGAGAGAATAGCAATAATCTAATTACTGAAACGTAGATTAAAATAAATTTTTCAAATTCAGAGAATCATCTATGGTGTTCATTATATGTGACAAAGCATCAGGCAAGTGTAGAAAATGCGTTCCAATAACTTCTATTTACTACTCGAAGGCTTACCCTTCTTTTATAGGTAAGTATTTTCCTACACAGGAGTTATCTGGGAAGTTAAGCTTATGTTAGAGCAACTAGTTTAATAAATGTCCACACTGCCATTTACTGAAGAAGCTTCAATAAATTCTATGTGTATTCTACTAATCTCCCACAATGTTCCCAAGGAAACTCTACTGGCCGGGTATGCTAGGGCCTGTCTATAATCTCAGTATTTGGGAGTTCCAAGCAGAACTGAGAGTTCAAGGCCAGCACAAACACCATAGGTTCTTTGAGACAGAGATCAAAACAGAGTATCACTTGTCAGAAGTCTGTGTGAGGTAAACTTTCTAATAAGACTTTCCTATCCCACATCCCAAAGGTTTTTTAATAAACAAAAGTAAAACAAACTACTGAGACATAAAGATCTAGATTAATCTTTTCATTAGAACAGCTGGAGCCAAGTTCTCTTGATTCCTCTAACGATATTGAACAATTACAAATTATGCAATCATTTACCACAAAAGGGCAAGAGAACAGTTAAAATTTTTTATGTACCAAGATATGGCTTTATAATTATCAATCTGACTTTTTACAGCAAATTAAAGAAAGGTTAAATGTAAAATCATTAAGCCTAAAACTGCACTTCCCAATATGCCAGGCAAATAAACAAAATACTTTATGATGCTGAAGTTCAGCTTTCCTTTATTTCAGTCTTAGGATATGAATCAATATGCAGTCCTAATTCCTGGAAGCAGGTAGTAGCTCAGCGTAAAAGAAATGTAATTTTCTTTGGTTTAAACAAAAATGTTCAATGCTCCATAAATAAGATACTTTGTCCTGCTTTCTTCCCCATCACTACAGGCAAAAATAACTAAGCTTTCAAGAGTTATTAATATGGGATGTATTTTTTTATAGTGTATTCTTTTTTTTCCTATGTGTGTGCGTATCAGCACTGAGGCTTGAACTCAGGGCCTGGGTGCTGTCTCTTAAGCATTTTTGCTCAAGGCAGTACTCTACCACTTGAGCCATTATTTTGTTGGTTAATTTGCACATAAGAGTCTCACAGACTTTCCTATCTAGACTGGCTTTGAACAATGATCCTCACACCTTAGCCTCCAGAATAACTGGTATTACAGGAGTGAGCCACCAATACCCAGCTCTTGTTTTACTTTAACAGTATAAACTAAAAAGGACAAAACTCACTTAAATTGTTATTGATATGCTGACAAGTTTATCAGCTGCTGAAACATAGAGACTTAGAGAATAAAAATCATTTCTGTTTCCAAAGCTTCCCTTACCTTGAAGGTCACCTTACTTGCTGAGGAGCAGGGGCTCTGGTGTAGAAGAACATGAGGTTGAGTCCCTGTCTTTTTCAGCTATCTGACTTTAGGTAAACTTACACAGCATTTATGCCCAGTCCCCTCATCTATAGTAGTGGGATGAGCACCTACCATTGCATTGAATGGATCCATACAGGGTACAAGAAACAACACGCATAAAGCCAAGTCCAGTGACCCACTACCCAGGACTCACTACATGCACTCTATTACAAGACTTGAGCCAAATCATTGATGCTGTCACTCTTTTGTAAAAGAATTCCCATCACATCTGGACAAAAATGTAATCCAAAAATAGTTGCGGAGGTTTTGAAAGAAAGACAAAGTATTACAAATTACTACAAAAAACCCACTTTGGGGTTTTGTTGACAGTCCACAGATTATAAGAAATGAATGAGGAGTGTGAGGAACTAAGAGTAACTTAGTTCTAAAGTACAAAAGCTAAAGATTTTAAATCTGGTCTACTCATTCACTATACCTGAGGAGAGTTGTTACAGTTGCATTTTATTGTCACTGCACAGGAAAAGAGGCCTGTGTCGATATAAGCCATAAATGGAAAGAGATACCCTGTCTGAAGAGACCCATGGCATCCATCTGAACTTAAAATAAGTACCTTCAATTCTTAAATGTGTCTTGTTAAATTTACCTGATTCAACTCTTAGGAATTTAAATGTTAAGGAGTTTAATAAAGCAAATTAAAAGATAAGTAAAGATAGAAAGTAATAGTAAAATAAGTCAAGATTCAAAAAGCCCTTACAAAGAAGAGAAAAAAAAAAACAAAAAGCCCTCCAAAAAATATTAAACAAACAAAAATTATGTAAGGAAAAACAAGCTTTCAAAGAGCAACTAACCTGTCCTTAGGAGCGGAGCTGCAGACTCCAGAACAGCCACACAGAACTGAGGAAGGCTGAGCTGCTGAAACTGTAGCTCCAGGGTGTCCTCCATGTCCAGCTCTGGCAGGTCCATGTGCCCCAGATCCAGAGGGGAGTGGCCAGAGAGCCTAGAGTTCACATGCGCATGACTGCTGCTTCCGCTGGAGAGAAAACAGTCAATACTGAACACAGACGCAATCCCCCAATACCACCTTGCATATCAGATGCCTCAGACAAGTCTCGGAGTTGTTGCTACATGAAACAACTCTGGTCAGATTCATAAAAACTTTGACAAACTCCTGCAACTATATTCCATAGAGGACTTGACAAAAGGGTCTGGGGATGTAGCTCAAGGATACTGTAGTTGCCTAGCATATGTGGATTTGTTCCCCAGAATCACAAAATAAACAAAATAAGATAAACTGTATATGAAATAACAAAATACATTTAATTCTTGCTATCCAAATTGCCAATCTTGAAACATGTCAACATTCCCATGGTAGCAATTAACACTAGCCATAATAAGTCACTTACTTCTAAATGTAAGCAGATTTATGGCAAAGCTCTATGTGATCAACTTGTAAAGACAAAAAATAATTCAGGTAGTTGACTAAATTTTCTGCAATATTCACCAAAAGTGGTCTAAGTAAGCCAATGGTAGCAACCAGAAAATGTTCGTAGAAAAACAGAAATTGCATTAGTACATTCATCATATGATTTTGAAAATGCATTTAAAAAAAAGGAACACCTTTTTTTCCTTGACTTTCTTTATCAAAAAACTCTTACCTTGTGTCCTCAAAACTTTGACTTTGAAGCCCAGATCACATAGATAACCTAATGTTATAGAACAGTTACAACTTCCCAAAGTTTATACCTATTTTGTCATTGCTTCAATTTCAAGATACCAAGCCCAGAAGAGAGAAGTGATCAAGGATTCTCTCAATCTCTAAAAAGCTCCATGAGGAATTTACTCAGAAGCAAAAACTCCCATGCACAGATCACACTAGATTAAAGTAGAAAGGCATTCTTGGAGTAAAGAGGAGCTGGGTGCCATTGGTTCACGCCTATAATCCTAACCAGTCAGGAGGATGAGAGCTGAGGACTGAAGTTTGAAACCAGCTCAGGTTGGAAAGTCTGTAAGACTCTTATCATCAATTAACCACCAACAAAAAAACAAGCTGGAAGTGGAGTTGTAGCTCAAGTGGAAGAGTACCATTCAAGCCCAATTGGGCGCACATGCGCGCGCGTGCGCGCACACACACACACACACACACACACA